TGGGCAGCTATAGCAGCACCGCAGGCGAGTGTTCTGAGTGGGGATAGTGGATCCAGGAAGGGCTTCTAGAAAATATGAATCCCTGTAAGAATTAAGTGGTTGTCACCTAAGCATCGTAGCTGACTTGTGCAAAGGCAAGTGCTGGTGAACGTAAGCATGGAAGGAGCACTTGGGTTCCAAGTCATTTGCTACTTCAGGAGCTTTTGCTTAGAAGCTCAACCTAATCCCAAGGTCATCCACTAAGGTCAGGGCAGAAATGGGCCATGAAATCACAGGCCCTTTGCCTTGGTAAGCAAGCTCTGAGTGTTCAGACGCACCTCATGGTAACGGTGGCTTCATAAAAATCAAAGCTGATGGATGGGAGGAGGCTCTCTGCCCTCGTGTGTTTAGTCTGCTTGTGCTTTTAGTCCCGCGGTGGCTGGGCTTCCGAATGGAAATGCATCCCACTCCCTCACCATTACCTAGATATAGACGCTCTCAGATGTAAAAGAAGCTTTTTTGCCCTTGGATTTTTGTCTTGTAAGGCATCCCTAATTCAGGAAGGAAATGAGGAGGAGTCAGGGAGAACCCACCACAAATGTTTTGTCAGGTAATTCAGACAGAGAGACAAGAATTTAAAGAGCTCAATTTCTGTACAACTGGGGTTGGCAGCACCATTCCTCTGACTCAGTCCAGCTCAAGCAATTCGCTTTTTCTTCCGAAGGGTTGTGACTCACCAAAAATAAGGTCAATTTTTTTTTGTCTTTAAAAAAAAAAAAACGCTTTAAGAAATTATGACTGGCAGAACAATACAATTTTCTTCCCAGGGCTCTGTGGATATTACTGTGTCAAGTCTGACAAATTCATTGTGAGGCAATAGTTATCCCCATTATACAGGGTGGAATCGGAGGCTAACAGATATAAAATAGCACATCTGAGGTCACTCAACATGTCTTCTTCCACGGGTGGGGAAGCTTACCAACTCCTAGTGCCTTCCAGACATGACACATGTATGCATGTCAAAACCCCATGACGAAGAGCTATGAGGTTCTGAGGTAGGAAAGGCAGAAACTGTGCCCATGTCCCTTGCAGGAGAACAAATGAGGGGCCCATCAGAGTTGTTGCAGGCAGACTCGTTAAAGGGAGAGAGAGCAAACTTGGCAGAAGATTCTGAGGTTTCCTTCACAGATTGGTGGCTCGTTCTCTACTACAAAATCATATGACATCCGGCCCAGACTGAACTTTCCATCTTGATTCTTCCTGAAGGTCAAGCTGAAAAATAGTCATGCTCCCAATTGAGAATCCAAATGACAATGTGGGATTCTGTCTCCTGATGTGCTATGTGACTGTGGTGGTGCCACCGACCCTCTCCGATCCTCTCGTGACCGTCAGAGACTGATCATTGTGTGGGTACCAGGGAAGAGTGGGGCTTCTCCAGGAACCTTTGGAATCTGTTTTTCTCTTCCTGGAAAAGCAGGGTAGGCCAGTTTAGAGGAAGTGGGTATTTAGAAAAGGAAAGAAAGCAGCAGCTTGAACATTCTGGAAGAGCCATGCCAGGGAGATGACAGACACTCAGCAGCCCTGCTACTTCACTACAGGAAGGGGGAGACACATTTTTGTATTAAGAGGAGGTTTCTAGAAGTTTTCAAGGAGGTTTCCTGAAGCTTTCCATGAAACCCATGGTTAAGACTCTCCAATCCTAAAACACTTCCTACATCTGTGTTTTTTTTTAAATACCTTTATTTTGTTTATTAATTTTTATGTGGTGCTGAGGATCGAACCCAGTGCCTAACAATGCGAGGCAAGCATTCTACTGCTGAGCCACCACCCCAGCCCCCCTACATCTGTTTTAACCAGCTTTTTCGCTGCTATGACTAAAGGATCTGACCAGCCAAACTGTAGAGGAGGTTAGAGTTTATTTGAGGACTCGTGGTTTCAGAGGTCTTAGTCCATAGAAGGATAACTCCATTCCTCAGAGCTCAAGGTGAGGATGAACATCATGGAGGGATAAAGTGGTAGAGGGAAGCAGCTCATATCATAATGGTCCAGAAACAGAGAGAGAGAGAGAGAGAGAGAGAGAGAGAGAGACTCCACTTTCCAGATACAAATATATACCCAAAGCCACGCCCCAATTCCCACCTCCTCCAGCCACATCCTACCACTTCTATTACCACTCAATCCCTATCAGGGAATTAAATCACTGATTGGGTTAAGACTCTCACAACCCAATCATTTCTCCTCTGAACCTTCTTGCATTGTCTCACACGTGTGGGGGATACCTCACATACAAACCATAACAACATCCAACTGCTTCCTACCCATATCCAACAGTGTTTCCATATGCTTCAGCTTATGGTCAAATTCTTAAAGTAGAGCTCAGTTCACTCTTGTTTTAAACAAAAAGTTCCTAAAAACTTTTAGGAAAATGACAACAGAACATTAAATGATACTGGAAAATCAAAACAATATAAGGATGTTAAAAGCCTCCACTAAAGCTGCACATCCTTGCAGGGTGAGAATGGGGGATGAGGGCATGATTCTGGGGCACAGCAAGTGTTTCATCTGCAATCAACAAATCCAAAATCCTCCCAGCTTCCGATTCTTCCTACTTAAGGAGTCACAGTATTTATTTCCTTCAGCGATGGAGACAAGACAGGCTTAACATTGACCACCTGTCAGAATAACAGCAACTTGTCTCTTAAAGGGATTTCAGGATCCCCCTAATATCTTTATAAAACAAAAGGAGATTACAAGAAAATATACAGGAAAAAACTTCACTAATTGAAGTAGAAGGATGTGGTGGGATGGAGAGGGAAAATTCCAAGGGGAGAAAGATGCTTCAGGAAAGATCTGTGGGTGCCACTTTAAGCAACTTGAAAGAGTTGGGACCCCTTCCTATTTGGAGATTAAAAGGGATTTTGCAAAATATAATACCCAAACTCGGAAGTCAGTTTTCCTTATCTGCCGCTTAGAAATGCCCTTGGGATTCTTCATATTTCTAGGGCGGGAAGTGTGTTACAGATCCTAAGAATGCACACAAGCATGCTGTCTCTGACACAGTGCCACCTGGTGCTCTCCAGGGTGAGAAGTCAACAGACAGAATCTTGCCTGGAGAATCTCAAGACACAGCAGGGGTAACTGCTGACTATATGCCAGGCAGTGATCTCCATGTATGAACTCATATGACACAACTTCCTCCTCATTCTCACCACCCTATTTATGGAGAAATCGAGCACCCAGGTGTAGGAAGCCATACTAATCCATGGTGGAGGTGGGATGTGGGCTGGCCCACTGGCCCTAGGGTCTCTGCTCTTATCCAAGGCCGGATCTCAAGCAGAGAGGAAGAGATCCAGCTTGGTATTGTTGGAAAGCTGCTTGCAAGGTACTCCAGTGGGTTCCTATGAGAGGGACAGGAAATGCCCCGGCCGAACCAGTTTATATTAGCCCTCGAAGGCATTCACTTAACCCATGGAAGCAGGGGTGATGGAAAGGGTATGTGCTATGGAGTCAGACAGACCAGATTTTGAACCTTACATTTTCCTAAGGGAAATTATTTGGTTGGGGGAGGGATACTTTCCTATCTATAAAGTGGGGCTTATGTGACTTCCCCCAGGATTTTGTGAAGATTAGAAATAAAATCTGAAACCTGCTCAGCAGAGTGCCTGGTGATAGAAGGGATAGAAAGGGCCTGATTTATAAGAGCTATTTTGAATGTTTCCTTGTTAACAGGTCCAATGGAGAGAACTTTAGGTTTTTGAACAGTCTTCTATGGATTTCCTGGAGGCAGTTCACGCACATGGAATTGTGGCCTGGCCAAAGGAATCTCTGTCCATGAGCCAGGCTACCCTATGGATTTAGTAGACTGTATTGCTTCCTGTTCCCACACAATGGAAAGCAATTTTAGTAAGTGTTCAGCTTAATTAGTTTGTGTCCAGACGGGTTTGCACACTTGTCACGGTGATCATCCACCTATTTCTAGAGAGCTTGCTTTTTGAGACATCTGAGCCTACCTCCTGGTACAAGAGCCAGGTGAAATTTCCATCCAGCAGTCTAGTTCTTCCAGCCTTGCAGAAAGGGGCTTGAAGTCAATACTCTCTTTTACTGAGGTAGCAGGTCAAAGGAAGGATGTAAATTTCTTTCAGAACCTACATTGACCCATTATAGCTACCACACGATCATGGACCTCTTCTCCTTGGTAAGCTTGAACATCTTCTCTGCAAGCTTAGACTAATGTCCACCACAGGCTCTGAGTGGCATCCAAGATGCTTAATAAATGTTAACAACTACAACGGATCATGATGATTAAATGTGAATCTGAGTTGAAATTCAGGCCTAGTACTTTCTCTCTGCTGGGAGTGACACGGAGAATTCCTTCTAGGAATTGCACCAAAGGATCCACGCGTACGTAGGAAGATGTATCCAAATGCAATCCAAGAGGCATTGACTGAGAAGTAGACTTTGGAGATACACTGCAGATATACTGCCTTTCTTCAATGGTCCTTCCAGAAAAAAATAAAAAGACAGGCATTATCCTACCCCACTGCCTGCCCCTTCCTGGATGCCAAAGCATTTTGTTGTTGGATATCATTTCAAGAAAACAACAGTGATGGGGAGATGGGGTCTGCTGATGGGGACAAATGAGAATGTGCAATGATTACTCTATCATTAACAGCTTCCGCATACAATACACCTGAAATAGCATCCACATACGCAGTCACCCTATTCCCTCAAACCTTACAATGGCCAAAGATGAAATCTGTACCCTCTGAAATCTACAGCAAGATAGATGACAGCACAATGGAAGGAAAGACTACACCCAAGGTCTTACTGACCTACCTGCCAGCCTGCGCATGGTGGGTAATAAAAGTTTATTGAAAATTAGGGAAAAAATCATGTATTTTAATTATTCTAAAAGGGATTATGATGTAGCATATGAAGAACCTCCCCCCTTCTCCACAGGACAAAACTACGACCCTTCCACCAGCCAACTCTCCAAACAGCACAGATTTAAAAATCTTGCAATTTTATTTGCATATAAAGGCCGCTAGATATAGAATATCACAATAAATTTAAAGAAACAACAGCTTTCCTAAATTTCAAGGTAACATAAAATAGAATAAAGCTCAACAGCATTTACAATGGGAAAACAGAAATGACTATTAGCGACAATATTTTGTGCTAGCGAAGATTGCATCGACACACAGTGCAAAATGGGAGAGGGGGGAGAGGAAGTAAGAAGACAATTCAGGGCATTTAAATAGAAAGGACAACTAAGCCTTATTTTAGTTAGCTTCCATTGCATCCATTTAATTCTATACACGCTTGTAACTGTACCTAGATTTAACTCAAGCTCTTTAAGACCTTGAGTTCTGAGAATACGTGTCAGTTCCTTCGGACTTCTGAGGTGCAGCCACACAGCATCCCACCACAGTTGTACTGTCCTTGGCAATGTTAAACTCCTAACTTAGAGTACACACACAAAAAAAATACTTATATATATAAACCCATACTGAAAAGGAGTCTGCACACTCATTTTTTTTTTACTGCATGAAATACCTGCTGTTTACAGGTTCCATTTCCATATTTTTAAAGCTAAAATAATTTAAAAGAAACAAACAAACAATGAGACCTTGTAAAACCACGATATGGATCTCACTAGCTAAGCCATCCTTTAAATGAGGGCTGTTGTCTTCCCTTGACACATGTCTTCTTTCCAGCAAGAATGTGACGAGAAGGCTTTTTCCATACCTACTTCAGTTGAGAAGATTGTTTAAAATCAGGGCCACATCTGCAAAAATGAAGCATTACCAAGAATACGACAACAACAAAACATTACAAAATAAAATACTTAAAAACAATACTCTTAAACAGTTGTGCAAATCTGGGTGGTTTTTAAAACACTGTCTACCTGTTTCCATTTTTTTTTCTTTTTCTTCCAGCTTAAAGCATATTAAAATAAGACTTCTTTTCACTTTTTAAAAGAAAGCTTGGCTGTCCTTTGGCGAACACTTAACAATTTACAATGGCGTGGCCTTTGAAAAATCAGAAGTCATTTTACAAATTCACAATGCTCCTTTGATTTCCAATGGGTGCCCCATTTAGAAATAATAATAATAATAWWATAATAATAATAATAATAATAATAAAGAAGAAGAAGCACAACCTCTAGCATCAATTTTTTTTGTTGTTGTTTGTTTCGACAAATTTACAAAAAGAACTCACAGCATTTGGAAATAAACAAGTAAGAGAATGTAAGTTTATAATTAGAAAAATGGCAGTTTGTAGACCTTCCCTCATATTCCAATAAGATAGTTAGAGCTTCAGGAACCTTGTGGGTTCGGAAGGTCAAATATAATCGGAGGGTTGGTCGGTTGAAAGCTGACTGTACATGTTGAGGCATTGATGTACGTCGTGTAGCCATCGGTCATGATGCCGTAACCTGTGGGGAGATGGTGTCACAGTTACTGTAATGTATACAAATGATGGTGGCTGAACGGGGGGCCATCAGGCAAGGAGAACAAGAAAGCCTTTGTCAGTGGGGCAGCGAGTTGAAATTCAGTTGAGCCTGCCTGCCCAGATCTAACAACTTTCAGGAGCTGATGTCTGATTTTATCCTATTTTCTTTAAAGGGTGGTGGTGGGGGGGAAATTCTCCACTTCAACAAAGAGTGATTCTTTTTTTTTTTTTTTTTTTTTCTTATTTAAACACTAGACTTGTCAGGGAATGACTGTGATTTCTTTAGTAGGGAGAATAAAGAAAAATATTGACCCCCCTCTCTTTTAAAAATAGCATTTTCACTTCAAAGCCCTGGTATGAACTATTGAGTTCTAGGGAAGGAAGTGAGTAATGTAGGAGTAACTCCTCAGGGGACAAACAGACCAAATTCCAAGTGGGCTTCAGGGCAGGTGAAGGGAAAGAACTCTGGGAGTTGGGAGATGCGGATACTGGGCTTCCATTTCTATGAGATAAACTGTCTCTGTGAGAGTTAACCATACGTAATTTTACCTTGAGTTCTGTGGCTTGGATGCGGAGTTGCATTTCAAAGTTTCATTCAAAAGCATCTACTAATCAACTGTCCAAGTGATGTACAGAAACATCACCATAGGCCACTGTTTCCTGAGCTTACCTGAGCACTTGATCAAGCAAAATCAATCCCTGCCTGCAGTAGAAACCTCTTGGAAATGACCTATTGGAAGAAAGCTAAGAAAACTTCCCTGGAACTCTGGCATGTATGCTTCTTTTATAATTTTATATGCTTAATTTTAGGACGTTTGGAAGTTTGCATATTTCCCTGGATACCATCTATTTGCTCTCCAGCTTCTGCAACTAAGTTTGCAATTCTATATCGATATCAAGCTCTTAAGGCATGTAAAAATATAGCCATGAAGAAATAAAATTACCAGGATTTAGAGAAATCACTGATAAGGTTCTTTTTTTCCATTTGCTAAAATTTCTGCAAGTAAGCCTGTGGAGAGCTTAATGAGGGTCAATGGAAAAATCTCTTAAGAAAAGAAAAGAGGCATTTAAAATGTRCACTGTTTAGTTCTGGGGTCATAAAGTCTTGTTATCTCTCTCCATCAAGAGGTTGGTATTTGCCCTCTCTCTGCCCTCTTCAGCTGTCTTAAGTRAATAAAGGCCAGACAAGTTTATTTGAATATGATCTCCTCCCTTTTAAGCTAGTTTATTATTTTGAGACTTTAGTGGAATTCCCCAATTGTCTGGTTAGTTTAAAGCTAATTAATGATTTAAATTTTAAAAAGTGTGTGTGGGGGGGTGGAATGCAAACTCAAAGGAATGCTGCAGGAATTCAAACCAGTTTTCAAGACAATGGTCCCCCTGAAATGCAATTGGGATATGAGGTCCCATCTCTGGTCTCCCCTCCCTGCATCATATCATAGAGAAGTACCCTTCTTTGTGGAGCCAGAGGAGTTGATACCTGCTGCTGCCTGCTTTGGGGGAGCTGCATCCCTCCTTCCAGTCACTCAGCTGGTGCCTGCACTTGGAGCCAGCTGAATTTTCTCTGGCCTCAGTAGGATGATTTTTCAATATGCTCTTTATTACCTGCATAACCAGGAAGCCACTGGATTTGTGGACTTTGAAAAGCAAACTTTGTTTTTTGCTTCATCAGGCACATAGCCTTATACACCCCAACTTGACTGCAGTTTCATAAATTATTGCAGGGAGCAGCTGCAAGCAGGATCCGGGGAGAATATGGCGGCTGCCCACATAAACGCACCAATTGCACACAAACATGTGTGCCTGGCAGAGCCGGTGAGCTCAGAAAACCTAAGGCTTGCTGAAGGAGGGCTTTGTGTCTGCACAAAAGTCCAGTTACCTCTGGTTTGAAAAAGGCAAGAGAAGCAAACAAAACCTAGAGCCAGCCCTGAAACCTCCCGTGAAGCTTCAGCTCTGTGATCCTGACTCAGTTTACCTTGAAAGGCAGAAAATGGCAACTGGACCAGTTCCCTAATACTTAGGGGAGATTTAATTGCTATGTTTAATCTCAGCCTGAGCTCATTGTGCCGCTGATTTCTGAGAAGTCTGAAACAGTTTTCTGAGGTTAGCAAGGGAAACATCCATCTTCAAATGTGCTGGTTCCTTCTGCTTCTGTTGTATATCCTTCACTGCAGGGCCACAGTTATTTTTCAGAGAATGCCTTGTCTTCCTGGGTCTTTTTTATGCATTTCATATGAAACATAATATTTATAGGTAGGCATGAACTATAAAAGCTTTAAATAGCTTCTAATATCCAGGGCATTTCTTCTAACTCTCTTAAAGAGAAAATTTGTCTTTATGTACCTCAGGCTTGCATTGCCGCAGTGATTATCAAATATTCCTCATTACAGCCCTGAGATTCTAAGCTGCCTGGGGGAATGCTGGGTTTGTGGTAAGGTGGGCCAGACAGGGTTCCTATGCTCTACTCTCTGTAAAAGAGAGCAAGCAGTTCCATATGAAATATTTATCAGCTTTATGTGCAGATTTTTCTCATAAGATTTCATCTTTATTAAAGGATTCCACTGCCAAAATGTTTAAAAACCACTGCTCTAGTTATTCCCAGTCTAGCTAAGGTCTTCCTTTGCAGTGAGTCATGAATCCCTTTTTGCTTACCTTCATGAATTCCACCAAACACATGGAGCTTGGGTCGGACTCGCCTCTGGACCGTGTTTAACAGCTCTACGCAGCCCACCCTTTGAAGCTCCTTTGGAACCCAGTCTCGAAAACCTAAGGGTGAAATGCAATCAATACTCTTAATTTTCTCTCTTCAGGTAAGGTTTCATTTAGACTTTCAGGAAGCCATAACTCACAGAAGGATTATTACATTATCTGTAATCCCAGCCTCTCCATTAAAGCTCACAATGGCTTTTAAGAAACTTTTCACTCGTTGCTTTGTCTTCTTTAGGTTCTTGATTTTTTTCCCACCCCCCCCCCCGGTTAATTAACATTTTTTTTTCCTGTAAAGAATTTGATTTATTCAGCCATGGGTTTCAAATCTTCTTCATGGGGCTCAAATGACATTTATTCATTTATTCCCGGCAGCCCCATAATATCTCTTTCTCCCTCGATTCAGTTACTTTCTTTTTAAAATTTTATCTTTCTTATACTTTCTGAGAGCAGTTTACTTACAAAATGGTTCAGAGACAGAACAGGGAGGGACTCTCTGTGAACTGGACACAAGATCCCTTGCTCTCTTTGAAGACATCAGCTCTTAACCCTTGGTGGTTCCCGTGACCAGTGCTTTGGAATGCCCATTGCTTCTCCACTCTACGGCAACAGGCAACAATATGACCTCATGGTGGCATCCAGCAAGTTGGGGCTAATTGACTACTTTTAAAGTAAAAGCCACTTAGTGCTACGCTTAATGCAGGAAATCTATAAAAACGGACATCAATTATAGCAAAAGTCAGCTATCTGGATGATTATGGTCTGAAATGAAATCTATACACCCCAGAAGGATGGAGCATGAGGAAGGCAGGTGGGATGAAAGGCTAAATCATAATCTGTGGGAATCCATTTTCATGGTTCCATTAGGTTATTCCTACTGTTTAGAAATGATTGGGCAGAAAGAGGCAGCTTTCTGCTTCCTTTGGTCAAACTGCAGACATGAATATTTAGTGTCTCTGTAAAGACAGGTTAGCTGGGTGCGGGAAGTGACCAGAGAATCTGGGAAGAACATCAGATGAAAGTGGAGGTTCCTGATAAAAAATCAAACCAGGATGTTGAAAACTTTTTAACAAGAGGGGAAAATCCTAAATCCACAGTGACTGGCATATTATCTCATGGATGTGTTTTTCTTGAATGGTTTGATAAAGTTTGTGAATTAACTTTTCAATTCAAAGTCACATTCTAAGTAATACGTATAGTCCAGTAAATGTCTCTATACTGAAGATGCCCAAAGCCCTGAAAATAAATAGCCAAAGGAACATCATGACCGAATCCCATCAGATTAGGCTGCTCAGGCAGATGGATAAAGTTGGATGGGATAGCAGCTCTGTAAGGTTGGTTACTCAGGTACCTTCACTAGGTAACGAACACTGATAAGAGTATTTAGCTAGCAAATTAACAATTTAGCAAGTGTAAGTGGTTGTCAAATGGGAAATTAATTGATTATGGCTTGATAAAGGCTGTCACCAAGTAAAACCTTTGAAAACATGGTTGGGGTAATATGCAGAAGGGATATGCTTCAGGACAGTGATTCCGCCTGTAACACTTCCATGTCTGCAACTGGCTCCTCTTCCCTCGCTTCTCCATCATTGAAATGAGCCACCATGGCCTATGTTCTCGTCCTCCCTTTCCCTCTTTGCAAACCATGGAATGCTCCCCTCCTAAAGGAGAGACAGCAGCACCAAATGGCTTGGAGGAGATCTACAAAGATCAAATTTGCATTGGGGATGAATATGAGAAAGTTTTATTTTTTAGGCTGACAGAGGAGGGAGGGAACATGGATAACCATCCCACACCAAGAAATGTCGTGAGGATCATTTATATCCGCATGACTCCCTGCTCTCAAAACAAGATTATCAAGAAAACTCTTTTAGTACTGTACAATCAAAAATAGATAACAAGAGTAGATTTCCTGTCATGTTTCTTTTACCACAATAATAATAATGATTAAAAAGACACCCCCCACCCCCATTTAAAGTGAAGCATCTGAGTTTTCTGAGTGCACTTTAGATGGACAACAGGGTCCTTGCACAAGGGGTACTGAGTAGATGGGGGACCAGGTGGTAGGTCCTGGCTGAAAAATATTCTATGGCTAAGTCAAACCATAATAAGCTCATGAATAGTTAAGGATAATTATATAAATCAATAATCATCTTCTGTCCCATAATCTGGGTCCCTAGGGGATGGCTTTGAAGCACACAGACAATATAAACCTGGCTGCAGCCCCAAGGTACCTGTAGAATGAGTATCCTTAAGTAACTTTCAACATAAGTCCTTACTGAACACTTTAACTTAAAAAAAAAAAAGTCTTTTCTCATATAATCAGCTCAAATGTTAAACTTTAAAGATCCCCCAGGTTCCAGCATTATGTGGAAAAGTAAAATGAGCTCCTTTGAACAAAAGTTTCCATCATTTCATTGCCATTCAAAAGCCCTGCGATTGGTAGGTCCATGTCTTCTTTCCGTTCCCCACTCCCCCTTAACTCCAAAGTGAATACAGTTCTTAAAATAAATTATCAAGCTCAAAAGACTGTGGGGCTCCATACTCATTTGATTTTTCCCTGACTCGACTAAATCAAAAAATTTAATTTCACGAACACCTGTAAGCCTTGCAGAACTGCTGAGTTTAATTATCATACTGGGTTTCTTTAAAGACATTGACTTTTTCTTTTTGTATTCACTATTTTTTTTTTTTGGAGGAAAATGATCATGTCCCTAAAGCATTATTCATTATGCTTGGGAAAAAAGTCATCTCCTATGACAAAAGGAGAACCTTTACTTTACTCACCTAGAGGAGGTCCATGTGTCATGAGGATGTCGATGCCCTCAGGGATGAGGTTCCACTTGTCCAGTAGAGACTGACCTCTGGGGAGGTTAAAGCCCCATCCATTAAACCACGGGGTCCTTTGGGGGAGATAATGCACATGGTATCAGGCCAGCACAGCCACATCCCCATTCTACAAGATTTCTCTTTCGCACACACATTCCCCCACGGTTTGCATTGCTCTCTTTTCTCTTTTTGATGGTTGGCCCTGGCAGCAGGATGCTTTTTTGTTGACTGCTTCAAAACCAATCCATTTGAAAGCAAGCGTGGAGCCTACGAATTGTTCCACTAGAAAGGGGCACAGGAGCCTTTGCAGTGGAGACTTTCCCAGCAGGCCTCTATCAAAATCTTGACAATGCTTTGTCTTCCCCCAAATCTCAGTGCTTCCTAAGATACCCGGCCCTGATCCAAAGCATTTTCCAGCTTTCCTGTAGTGCCTCAGAGCTAAGAAATTCCGTCAGTACTCCTTGACCCTCCCCATCACTAAAGAAGTACTTCACCAGAAAGATTCTTACTAAAGTCTTCCGAGAAAAAGGACAAGGGATTTGAGGCACATTCTGTGTCCACTGAGATGTCAAGAATACTCAGGACTGAAACTACTGAAAAAAAATATGGGGACATTCCAAAGTAAAAAAAAAAAAAAAAAAAAGGTTACAGTGAACAAAAGACAAATAAGGAACTGGGGAACAAACCTGACCAAATTACACTGTTATACTGTGTGCACGTACAAATATGTCACGACAAATTCCACCATTATGTATAATTCTAGGGCATAAGAAAAAAAGTGAGTGAGGAATTTTCTTCCTGCCACCAAAGGGAAGATTTGGGTACATCACTGGTCACTCTGGAATCCACTCCCCTGACAGTGATTGTGAGCTCTATACTGGAACTTCTGTTCCAGGAATGAGTTTTTCAATAGGGAATAGGATGAGAGTCTCTGTCCATCTGATGAATGTTCTAATTAGGACCAAGAATGTCTCATTTATAAATGTGCCATTTATAATTATGGGAGAATGATCATTTTTTTTTCTCCTCTATGAAGACTATAACATTAGTATAACACACTTCCTAGTTATGTCCTATTCCCAAATGTCTACATATAACCAGTACTTTTTTTGACACAAGTTTCTTGTTTTGTAGGGGAATTCCCATTTGCTAGGGCATGCATTTAAAAGACACTTTTCTGGCTAAGCCAAACTTCCTCTTTTGGCTTAACCTGCCCTTCCATGCCTACTGAAAGAGGTGACCTAAAGGGCTAAGGGAAATATTAAAGATCTTCCCTGTCCATGTGCTTGCTGTGACCTTTGTGTGTCCTTGATGGGACATCTGAAGCATGCTGACTTCTGCTGGGTTTGGCTCACTCAGGAGAACTCAGACTCACTGGCTTATCTCAAGGCCATCAGTCCCTCCCCAGGGGATCTGGCCTGTCCTAGGGGATGAAGTGTCCTTGAGGGGACCACAGGTCCTGCAGGTTGTTAGAAGGGAACTTTCTTTGTTCTCACTTTATTAAAGGAGCTCCATCGGGAATAAGAGTTTGGAGTCTCACCAAGGAGAGGACACTCTGCCTGGGACTCCCCAGTGGGGACCCTGCAAAGCTGCCTTGGGAGTCCCCAGCTACATGACTTCAGGTGCTAGTGTTTCCCTGATCTGGTGATGTGTTTTCTTTTCTTTCTCTCTTACCTATCACTTTTGCTTTTGTTCTTGCTTCCATATTATCACTCAAATAAATGCCAGCTTGTATAAAGAGAGTGCTATTGTCTATCAGATCTGACTTGCCAAATTCAGCAGCTACACACATACCTAACGCTTCAGTGTTACACAACCCTAACGTGGCTCTTCTCAGCTAATTGAACAGGTGGTGCCCTCTCATGTAAAGACAATCACTGGCCAGATTAATGGAATTCTCTCAAGAATCTGGATTCAGAAACAGTGGCCGAGAATTCATTTGGTGATGGACATATGTAGTTGAGGCCAGAGACAGAAGGTCAGCTACAGGAAGTTATGTCAAAATCTACATTCCAGGTGAGAACCTCCATTCCTGCAGAGATGGTGGAGAAAGTTCCAGAAAGAGGAGACTGTGTGGCCCCAGGTAGTGAGAGAAATCAAGGAAGTATCTGACTTATTTCCTAACTACTTTCGAAACCCCTGTGCCATGCTCAGGGAGTTTACTTGTAATAACAAATGCTAATCATGATGGTGACAGCTGTCCTTTATTGTGTCAAGGCACTATTCTAAGTATTTCATTTGTATTAACACATTTAAACCTTGCAACAAACTCCAGCTGGGTACCTTTATAATACCCATATTATAGATGAGAAAACGGATGCACAGAGAGGTCAAGTAAATACAACCAATAACTTGGTTCCGAATCCCATACTCTGACCCATTACACGCCTCTTCTTAGATACTACCTGAATTAACTTACTACTTGTCCTGGATGAGCCTCTTCTAACTCAAGTTCGAAAGTCTTGTGGCTTGGAGCCAAGTAATATGCCAACTTCATGGTTCTGAAGTCCAGCAATAACATGGTGGAGTAGACACCTGCTGTTTCTATAGACTGAGATCTTTTCTCCTTCTTTTGGTGACAACATCTGAATTTCCTTTGGGAGCCACCTCCTCCCTAACTCAGTACATGAGCTTCTGGCAAGGCTGACTCCATTCCTGCCCTTGGAGATGAAGCAAGTATTGTATCTCTCTAAACATAATTTGTTTAGGGATGTACATGTGACTAAGCTGGGCCAAAGAGAGTCATCCTCAGCATTTTATTGGTGCTGGCTAAGAAAAAAAAAAATCCTGGTTTCTTCTCTGGCATTTTCAGTCTCAAGAACTATGTAAGCCTGGAACTGCCCGGGAGCTGTCTTAGCCTTTGCTTGAGAATCAAACCCAAGAAAGAGAGGACTCGGATGACCTGGCTGGACATATGGATCTAGCTATGTCGGATGATGCCAGTGGAACTTTCCMAAGTACCCGAGACAATAAAATCCTTTCCTTTTTATTAGCTTGTGTTAGGTCTTATTTCCTGCAACTGAAGAGTYTTACTACATATACTTATTGTATGGGGTATAAAAGTGGCCTAGGTACTTGTGGTAGGCAATAGTATCTCTTACCCTAACAAAGAGGTCCATTTGTGACCCCTGGAGTATTCAGTTGGGCCCGGTGAAACCCACAAAGGTGCCTAATAGTGGAACAGGGAGGGCAGAGGAGATCAGAGTGAAGCAATGTGACAAGATTCAACCCMCTTTCACTACTGGTGAGGATGGTGGGAGACGACCAGTAGCCACGGAAAGTGGGGGGCCTCTAGCTGCTGAAAAAGCTAAGGATAAAAAACTCTCTCTCTCTCACAGAGAGCCTCCAGAAAGGAACACGACCCTGTCAACGCCTGGATTTTTGTCCAGTCAGAACAGCACCAGATTGCTGACCGTCACTTTTTCTAAGGTAAATATGTGTTCTGTGAAGCTACTGCGTTTGAGYTGATTTGTTGCAGTGGAAACAGAAACGAATACAGTCAGTGCCTACCACGTTCCTGAGGCTATACTGTACAGGGGCTGTGAGTGGCACTGGCCGCCCCCCCTTGGCACATGCTCAATCCACGCAGTCCATCCACAGCCGCCTGCCGTGTGCCACTACCTGCACTGCTCCTGGAATCCTTAGAAAGCAATGCTCCTTTTGGAATCCCGGCCTGCTGGGGCAGCCCCAGCCTCGCAGGCCTGGGGAGAATGCCAGGAGACCCTTTCAGAACTGCATTCATCATCGTGCTGTGCTCGCTCCAGTCTTCCAGCACTTCCTGCCTTCAGCTTCTCAAACATTTTCATTAGAGTCTAAAATACAGCTTTCTCAGTTTGGATGCCCATCCTCCAATTTACAGTGACTCCCTTCCAAGATTTGTCTTAAAAGTAAAAGCAAAACAAAACAGAATAACAACTTCAGAACCTAATGAAAATCCAGTAAGCATTTTGGCAGGGGAAAGACAGAGAGAAAAACAAGCAAAAACATCTGCTTTTCTAAATTTTGAAAAACAAGCTTCTGGGACTATGGTTCTTATTTGGATGGCAAATAAAGACGTGTTTGAAAGCACACCCAAGTTGTCGCTGCAAAGAGGGGCTCTGATGTTATTTTATTTGAGTGGGGGTTGAACCCAGGTGTGCTATATACCACAGAGCTACATCCCTAGCCCTTTTTATTTTTTATTTTCAGACAGGGTCTTGCTAAGTTGCTGAGAGCCTCGCTGAGTTGTTCAGGCTAGCCCCAAACTTGTGATCCTCCCTCCTCATCCTCCTAAGTTGCTGGGATTTTAGGAGTGCACCACTGTGCCCAATGTAGGGCTTTGATTTTGCTGAAGACAGGCAGCTCTGGGGTCCCAGGACAGGAGGTCCTTCCAGAGTCACAGCAAAAGACAAACTTTTTTTTTCCCCCCCAGTTTTCCCTTGTAGGATTTTCTCTCAGAAGTCCATAGTCATATTCTCCCAGAAGATGTTCRGTTTTATAAGTTCTCAGTAAAAGATTAAGACAAACTTGTGGTTTATAGATAACCCAAATTTCACTTTGTTAATGTTAACCCTTGTGGCAACATCCAGACGTTTCTAAGTTCAGGATCACATTTTAAAATGTTTGGTTTTTATTTCAACTCAAACTTGTATATGTGTGAGAGTGAGAGTAGTTAAGTTATAAGAAAAGGAACATGTACCAAGTCCCTGATATGCTTTACACAGAGATTTTACATAGACTATTGAATTCAGTTCCTCATCACAATCCTTAAGCCATGTTTTATCACTCTATGTTTAGATAAAAACCTAAAATCAGTGATACCATGTAACTTGTCCAGTGAGGAAGATCTGAACCCAGACCGGCTGTTTACAAAGCCTATTCTTGTCTTGCACAAAGCCAACAAGAATCTTTTAACCCAATGTCAGTTTGGCTCTTAATAYATAAAGTAAAAACATGGCTGTTCTATAGTCTCCTAGGCTGATTACTATTCACAAGGTGCCATGGGATTGTACAACCAAAGTAGCCTTAAATAAAAACAGTGTGCCAGGCCTGTCTGGGGTGTGGGGGCTTGATATTTATATAGAGGTAAGTCTTT